AAGCAAAATATACCGATGTGCTTTCAGATAATACACTAAGGGCCAATTTCACCAACATTAATATTTATGGGAAAATACCTTATCGAAATGTAATTTGACGGAAGCTGTCAAAGCTCTCTGAATATCAGTGATTTCTATTGAAATGTTGAACAAAGTCGTGCAAACAGGATTGCCTTATGAATAAGGGTAGATTATAGATGTAATATTATGTCTTTGTGCTTTAGAATTAGGATAACTTTCATAGAATTTCAAATTTTTATCATTTCAAAAAAGACGGTCAGTTATTTAAATGGACCAATGAAAATCAGAGAAATAATAGGTCGGTTTTCTAGCTATTATATTTGGTAGGATGTTTTCACTGTTTTTGACGACTATTCATGCATGGTAATCTAGTTGTGTCTGTATATCACGTACAGGGTGTTGTACATAATACGTACCTGTAGAAATGTACCGATTTTTGTTATTTTGAAAAAAAAGGATATAAAACGTATTCCAACTGGTTCATCATCTTTTGTTACATCAAAAACAATTTTTGCCAATTTATGATCTAGAAATCCACACGAAATGTAAACAAATACCACATTCTCCATTTCTGGGACCTAAAACATCAATATTTGTAAATGTATCCGCATCCACCTATTATTCATCGTCTAGATATTGTCAGAATCAAAAATACCTATTTATGAAAATATATCTCCAAACATTGTTATATTTTTTATTATTTCTATTATTATAACTCGTCTGGGATATCAATTGCTTTTAAAGTGATCTGCACATCTGCAGTGTTGCCGAACCCGCAAAAAAAACAAACGGAATCCGTAAATAGAGTCGTTAAATTCGGTATAGGGTAAATGCCGTCCCAAGATCAAGGACCTTTGAGTCATGAAAAACGTCTGTTATTCTATTGGGCGCGCACACAACATGTTTTTTGAGGGCATAGTTCTATATTACGACTTCTACAATGTGCATACTGGTCGCTCTTTCAAAGTACTTTGCAACCATTCTGGAAACTCCTTTTTCGATTCTTGCTTATGGGATTGTGAATATTTGTCTGTTTTACCCCTCAACTCACCTCTCATTTTAATTAAATATTTAGTTTGAAAACAGGCAGGTTTTGGTTTCTTTATTGCTTGTCCGGTGACGAGGTAATGACGGTACTCTACCAGTCTGTACCTTTTGTATGCACAAAAATAAATTCAGGGCAAGCGGAGTAAGGGATGAGGATATGCGTTCGTAATCATAGACAACCCAAATTTACGCCTCTCATGTGCCCGTCAACCTGAGTGTGTATGCATATGTATGATTGATATGGGGCATAAAACTATGAAGACTACATAAAATTAACTATTAGATTTATTTTTTGTTTCAGCTCTTTTTCGGCAAGTATAGAAATATTTAAATTATTTTGAAAAATCGTGGAGAATCGGTAAATATTCTCTTTTCGGTAAAAATACCGAAAAATCCGGTTCCAGTCCATGCAAAGACAATCTGAAATTTGCAATATGAATTTATATTCTAAATTCTATGCATATCCGTTCATATTCGTCAATATTTCATTTGCAGCTTTTATTTGTCATAAGATTTTAGCAAAATGAAAGATAGTAAAGGCAACACCGCATCCTGCAGCCCAGTTGACAAGAACGACAAGCTGTCAAGATTAGAGATGTTTAGATCCACGAAAAGAATCGTTATGTATCCATTCTTATTGTTTTAGGAAGTATCGATACTCTCAAATATTGGAATAAAATTATCGATATCCAGCGGAAGGAAACAAAGAAGAAAAGTAATCTGAAGTTAGTCACTCAGTCCGGATCGAAAGATGACAATACTCGTGAAATGATCGATACACCCAAGTGTCGTATATAAAAATATCGATCCAAAATATCGAGTATGGGAAGCAAAAGCATCGATACTTCTAAATATAGGATCGTATCAAACATCCCTACTGTCAAGATGTATATCCCGAGGTACCGAGGGAGCTATTTTGCGGCGTCATGGAAATAATTTTAAATTTTCATTTGCATTTTTTCAAGTGTTGGCGCAGGTTACTCCACTGGGACCAAGGGTTGACGGATTCCACCCATGTGTCACTCGTTGGGGAGTTTTGAACTGTAATAATCAGCTGTTATTCAAATAATGCCTAATATAAATATAACCTAGAATGTGTTCTCAATGAAACAAGAAAGTTATTGCAAATTCTATTTTTTGCAGGTTTTAAGTTTGCCGGTAACTTTACGACATATATTTGAGTATTTTTTAATCGCTGTAAATATAGTGTGGATGTTTGTTTAGTTCCTGAACAATCAAAAAATATTTGACTATGGATGTATGGATATCAAATATCCTGAATGGTTTTGTGGGAATATCAATCGACGGTGCTATAATGATACTGATGAACGGCAAGTAAATGGATGAATGTTTGGAAACGAGCAATATCTATGAAATTTTTGGTAGAGCCTGTCATCAAGTTGGTGCTTAATGGCTATCTGCAAGAGGTTTATAGAAAAAAACACAAGGTCAATTGAAGAAAATAATATAAACATGAATAAACAATCGACAATATTAAATAAAAGTATGAATTTTACTCAAAAATCGAACACTTTTTTAAATTTTGACTAAGCCATATGTAATTTCTCAATATTCAATAAGCTGGTGATGTTTCAATGACAAGCTGTCATCTCATACAACATTTCATAGCTATTGGTTGCTAAAATTCGTTGATTGGAACTTGAAGCTCATTCACTGTATGTGTCGGACTGTTACCCTATAGGTGGAGAATAACGGACTGTTGATTTGACAATCCTGGTGAAATCCACCCTAAATGAAAGAAAATGCAACACCGAGTAGGAGTGCTGGAATTTTGAGCATACTTTTACAAGTTTTAGGTCTACTCGTAAATAAAGAAATAATGTTAATAATGTGTTCGCTACACATTTTTAAGTTGCCACGGCATTGGTTGGTTTAGGTTTTAGGTGATTGATGTTTTCTTGGTGTCCCATACATGTTCGATGGTGAAAGGTCTGGAGATCGAGGAGGCCACTAAAGCAGATTTACTCCGGACGCTTCTAAAAAGTCTAAATCAACACCTGCGACATGAGGTCGTCTTGCACGGCCATCATGTGTGCCCAAACAGAATTTCAACATCAACATTTTATCAGCATTTATACTTCCATGATAGCGAATATGATTACAAGTTTTTATCAAAATTCAATAAATAATTGTGGGTGTTGCATGTTATATGTCACTTAGCATATTAATATCTTAATTGACTGAAACCTTTGGGAATATTAAGATATGATGTTTGCTATATCCAAAAGCTCCCCCTAAAATTCTTTCGTTGACTACGTTGTGAAATAATCTGCGGCTTTGCGAATAATTCTTAAATTGCTCTCAATTGTCAAATTTGACGGTGTGTAAAATTATATAATAATAATAATAATGATTTCAAGTTTAGAATATGGCGATTAGAATATAAGAGCTTCATCTTCATATATACTAAGTGACATATAAATCCGAACACCCAGTTTAAATGGTTTTATTTTAATAAAAGTTGGTTCTCTTACTGTAAATAATAAGTGAAAAAAGTTTCAGCCTTATCAGTTGGACATTCCGGTTTTTATACTGCTTTTTTTTAATTCACTAACGCTCTAAAAATGAATATTTCAGCCGCAGTAAAGAATCAACGTTGGCGGATTTTGGTTCTTGATATCCTTTACGATCGGTTACGATGCCTAGAGTACGGAGACCTGTACGATTTCGTCAACTTAGTGAGTTTGATAGGGGCCGTATAGTGGGACTTCGGGAAGCTGGACTTTCTTTTCGGGCAATTGCAGTTAGAGTGCAAAGAAGTGTAGACACTGTGGTTAGGTGTTGTCAGGCATGGCTTCGAAAAGGCCGTACGCAAAGAGCAAGGGGCACTGGACGCAGCCGTAGAACAACAGACCGTGAAGATCGCCGCCTAAGATTATTGGCCTTAAGGGACCGTTTCTCCACTACCAGGTCCATTGCAAATGAATGGTTTGCAGAACACGGAAGACCTATTAGCATGCGAAGTGTTTACCGACGAATGAGAAGTTTTGGCTTGTTTTCATACCGGCCACACTGGGTCCTCCCTTTAACTCGAGAACACCGACGTAATCGCCTTGAGTGGTGCAGACAACGGTCACTCTGGGATCAGGAATGGGACAGTATTGTCTTTAGTGACGAGTCTCGATTTTGTTTAGGCATGCACGATGGTCGTGCCAGGGTTAGAAGGCGACGTGGTGGAAGGAGAAATCCACAGTTTTTTGTTGAAAGATGTTCATCACACTGCTGGAGTTATGGTTTGGGGTGCTATAGCTTATGGTTCCAGGTACCCTTTAATCTTCATCAGAGGTAACATGAACGCGCAGCATTATATCCACGAAGTTCTAGAACCCCATCTTTCACCCTATCTTGACACCCTGGCAGATCCAACTTTCCAACAAGATAATGCCCGACCACATGTTGCAAGAGTCACAATAGACTTCTTTCAACATAATGATGACACATTGTTACCATGGCCACCAAGATCTCCCGACTTATCCCCAATTGAGCACGTGTGGGATATGATGGGTAGGAGATTGCTTAATTTGCAACGTCCTCCTCAGACTCTAGAAGCACTTCGAGGGGAGTTGGTGGTTGCCTGGAATGAGATACCACAGGAGGACATTGACCACCTGATCAGAAGCATGCCTAGGCGCGTTGGAGAATGCGTAGCACATCAGGGTGCATCCACACATTATTAAAGGTCAAAGGGCTTTAAAGCAGTGCAATCATTTTGAAATTTTTATCATTTACTTATTATGCTTCATTAAGTACTTATACAAAATTTTATTAAAATAAAACCATTTAAACTGGGTGTTCGGATTTATATGTCACTTAGTATAACTCGACTGCATCATACTATTAACAAGTATGTTAAATCCAAAATTTGAATCAAATATAACACCTAGAGTCTTAGCATTATCAAAAAATGGAATATTTTTTTTTATACTCCAACTACCACGAAGGCCTAAGGCCTAAGCACCCATTGGGTACCGTGGGGTATAGGGGGATACATGGGAACGGGGGGGACGTCACACGGACTCTGGCGAGGCAACACGTGTGCATGCAACATGCACACATTCTGGCTCCGCCTACGAGAACTGCCGGGTGGTACCTCCGCGTTCGACAGTCAGAGACCGTCTACCACCTACGGACAATCACAACATCCATAGCCAAGAGAAAAATTTCTCCTGGGACGGGACTCGAACCCGCACAGCGCACGGCGACTGATCAGGAGACCGAAGAGTCTACTACTGCGGCCACCGCTGCTGCCTGATATTAATGTCGTTGATAAATAATAAGGAGACTCGATTTGTGATATTGTAAATTGAATATTTAGAACAATATGGTATCGCGGTACATTTTGATAGATTGATGCGGAGACAGTGCCATATGACAATACGTTTTCAAGATCTAGGTTAATTTTATACGATGCTTCATATAAGTTGGATTCATTAAAACGACATGTTAGTTGTGTAACGTCAGCATACATTTGGATGTAACAGTTTCACCCATGCAGATCAAATGCGTATACTAAGAATAAAATAGGTCCTAGTACTGAACTCTGTAGAACTCCTGATGGAACATACCGTGCATCAGACGTTCCTCTAGATGTTTCCAGTTTTTTGGTTTGGGTATCAAGTTGGTCATAGAACTACGGTGCTGAGTTTTGGAATAAAAAAAGACTTTAAAAATGAGGTTTAACTAACATCAACATTTCAGAGTTGTTTAACGTTATCAACGGTTACTGGTTACTCAAATACTGACCCCTCAAACATTTAATGTTTATAGACCTCTGAAATGAAAGTCTGTCTTTAAACTTCATCATATTTTTCAAAGGAGCGGATTCCACATCTTCTGGTATTTCAAAGCTACTTGAGCGGTGACTAAGGAATCCACTTGATTCAACGCTCCCTTGCGTGAAATTGAGTCCTTTGACAGAGGTACAAAGGGTCCCTTCTAGTATTTGTTAATTTCGTGAAAAACTAGCTGGACTCGGTCGTCGAGATTTTCCTTGCATTTAGGGTAGAGAGCTCGGCGTTTAACACAAATCAGGGAAAACCACTGGGTTTTCCCAATGACAGGAGGGGTTAAGGGTGATGAGGCAGGTTAAGTGACCGACGGAAATGAGTGACAGTTTTACCTCTTTGGATCACTTCAGACGTAATGAAAAAAAGGGAAGCTTATTCACTGCTTTTGAACTGTCATTATTTAATGCCAGCTCCGATTCGGAGGTTAACCTAATTAAGGGGAGATGATGTGGCATCATGCGTATATACCCCCGCTTTATTTTCGGAAATCAGTGCTTAAGGCGTTTGCTCATTATACTGTATCGTATTCTTTATACAGGATGGCCAATTTATATAATAATAATTAATAAGCACATGTGTACAATTCATCATAGAGCGCTACACGAGCTCACGATGCGTTCGTACAGTTGGTGCGGAAATTTGAAAAAATAGGAAGTTAAAGGTCGGGCCGTGTTCGACCTCTTCGTACTCCGGAAAATATCGAGACAGTTCGTGAAAGTGTAGTTGGAGCGCCCTGAGACGTCTACCAGACATCGTTCTCAAGAACTGGGTATTCAACGCACGACATTATGCACTATTTTGCGGCCATAGAAACTTCAGTTAACCCAAGAACTACAGCCTAGTGACCATGAATGTCGTCAAAAATACAGTGCAATGTTGCAGCTTGATACCCAAAATATCGATTTTTACCGACAACTGATAACACTGATCAACAGCCAAAAAATATCCTAAATAAAATCAACAAAATATTACTATTTTTAATGTGCTAAAACCGGAATGAAACTTATTTTTTCAATATTAGTTCAAGTTTTAGAGATACGGTAATTATATGTGTTCCTGCTGTGACAGTGTTAATATACTGTAATTCACAAGAATGCACGTGCTACATTTTTATATTCGGCAAGGAAAGATGATGTAATCGGCATGATTGTGTTACGTTATACATACGTGTACATTATATTGTTTTATATTAGCCATTTTTTCCTCAGTTGGCTGACAGCGTTCATGCAAGATGTCTAGAAAGTGTGTAAACAATCCAGATCAGTTTTGTTACGTGTGTGGTGACGTGACTTTTGCGTCTCAGAGACGGTCTATTACTCCACTAATAACAAAGGCATATCAGCTTTATTTCGGTTGTAAACTAGGTGATCAAGACAAACAGTGGGCACCCCACATCTGCTGTAATACATGTGCTTTAAGTCTGAGGAGCTGGTTAAATGGCAAAAAACGGTCTATGCGCTTTGCTGTCCCAATGGTTTGGAGAGAGCCTACAAATCATATTAATGATTGTTACTTTTGCATGGTACCTTGTGTTGGACAAGCCACAGGTATGTCCAAGAAAAAAAAAATCGATTATTAACTACCCAAACATACCATCTGCGATGAGACCTGTGCCTCGCAGTGACGAAAATCCTATTCCAAAACCCCCAGAATCCTACACTTGCGAATCAGAAAAGTAATCAGATCATGGCGATCGAGTGATTCGTCAGGAAGAAGATATGCCATCAACGTCAAGAGATCCTGATTTTATACCGAGCACGTCATGCCACCAACCGCACAAAATAACACAGTCAGAATTAAATGATCTTGTAAGAGATTTAGAACTTCCAAAATGTAAGGCAGAGTTACTTGGATCAAGACTGCAGCAGTGGAACTTGTTAGAAGACGATGTTTCGGTATGTGTTTTTCGTAAACGCCACAAAGACTTAGAACCATTTTTCAATATGGAGAATAACTTGGTTTTCTGCGGTAACATTAACGGCTTACTGGCGGCTTTAAATATAAACTATAACCCAGAAGAATGGAGATTGTTTATAGACAGTTCAACATTGAGTTTAAAGGCAGTGTTATTGCATATTGGAAATATTTTACCATCTCTTCCTGTAGGGTATGCAGTTCACATGAACGAATCATATGACAATATGAAGTACCTATTTATTGACATGCATAAAATACGATGAGCACCAATGGCATATTTGTGGCGATTTGAAAGTTGTTGCACTTTTACTTGGGCTGCAGCTAGGCTACACAAAGTTTTGCTGTTTTTTGTGTGAATGGGACAGTCGGGCAAAGGCACTTCATTACACCAGACAAAACCGGCCTGTTCGTCAATTCCTAAAGCCAAGTCAAAAAAATACACAGCATATGCCATTCGTAGATTCGAAAAAAAATGTATTACCACCACTGCATATCAAGTTGGGCCTGATGAAAAACTTTGTCAAGGCATTAGATAGAGATGGGTCAGCTTTTCAACACCTGCGTCAGAAATTTCCAAGACTAAGTGAGGCAAAGGTTAAAGAAGGTATTTTTGTTGGGCCACAGATTCGAAATATTTTGAAAGATACACAGTTTGAAAACACTTTAACAGGTATTGAAAAAACTGCTTGGAATGATTTCCGTCTGGTGGTCACTAATTTCTTGGGAAATAGAAAGCTGACAACTATAAAACCCTTGTCAAAAGTATGGTGTCATCGTATCAAAAGATGGGCTGTAATATGTCTCTTAAGATACATTTCCTACACTCACACCTGGACTTTTTTCCTGACAATTGCGGAGCCGTAAGTGATGAGCACGACGAACGTTTTCATCAGGATATTTCAACAATGGAAAAAAGGTACCAGGGAAAGTGGAATCCTTCCATGCTTGCAGACTACTGTTGGACTCTTGGTAGAGATGCTCCAGAAACGATCCATAAAAGAACAGCAAAAAGACAGCGCATATAGTGATTCTTATAAGTATATGAATCTTGTTAGTTTTTTTTAATATATCCTTAAAAATAAAAAGTTTTTTCTAAACCATAACTAATTTTTTTATTTCATTGTAGTTTTTGAATTCAGCGCCCCAAAATTAACAAAGAAGTGCACTTTTCCCACAAGATACAATTAAAAAACTAAAATTTGTTGTCCAGTGTAATGAGCGATGAAGCCCACTTCCATCAACGACCACTACATCCTAGTCGAGTCACTGTTTGGTGCGGTGTTTAGTATGGAGGTGTCATTGGACCTTACTTGTCTGAAGATGCTGCAGGTAATTCTCTTACTGTCACTGGCAAGCTCTACCGTGATATGGTGCAAAACTTTCGGGCTCCTCAGATCCAACAATTTAACCTGCAAAACATGTGGTTCCAGCAGGACGGAGCAACTTGTCACACAGCTAGGGAAACACTGAATCTTTTGCGAACAATTTCTTGATTTGGTGATGTCAACTGGCCACCAAGGTCACCGGATTTAATGGCTCCTGACTTTTTTTTATGGGGACTGTTGAAAAATAGGGTTTATGCCAACAAACCAAATACTGTAGAGCAGCTGAAGAACAGTATTACGGAAGTGATTGAAAATATTCCTCCCGAAACCTACCACGGACATATTTGTCTGATATTATTTTTCATACATAATTTCAATAAAATATTACGATAAAACAAATGGACGTATTTTATTTCATTTCACAAATATTCAAGATGCATACCAGTCAGTTACATATCGGCCACCCTGTACTTGAACCATTAGGAAGGCCTAAACACACACGTGGGGCTCTAGACAGATACAGAGGAAAAGGGGGGACAGTCTACTACCTACAGACAGTCGCAACGTCCGTAGCTAAGAGACGAATCCTGTTGGGGCGGGATTCGAACCCGCGCAACGCACGGCGGCTGATTAGGAGTTCCATAACGTCTACCACTACGTCAACGTTGCATACATGATTTTGCTTGTGACGCCACGCTTTGTGCATGAACGACAGTATCTCACAAGACTGTGGAGGTTAAACAGTTAATAGCGGCTTATTTTTGTTGATTTTCATCCAACATGTTGACATTTGTATTAAATCGAAACACTTACCACATGGATATACAGGGTGTAAGCGTTATGGTAGTCATTATTGAAATGGGTAATAGGGGGGTCAAAACAAGTCAAAAAGTTCATATGACCCATGGTCCAAAAGTCAATAGATTTTTGTCTAAATGGCTTTATAGTTTACAACTTTAAGTGCTTTATATCGATCACAATCACCACAATCTTACTAATTTCTATAATCTAATCTAAAACGTTTTTAAATTGGGTAATTAATAAATAAATGGCATTAAGTTTTTCTAAGTTAAGCCAAAATCTGTAGTCAGTAAGTAAGTT